TATAAATCTTTTATACTTGATCTATTCTTATAAAATTGGTCTCCTTGGTCCAAAAGAATTTTAATAAATCCTGGAGACACAAACATCCTTCAGGTTGGAAAGAATCTCACAACTGTAAACATATGGAAACTGAATTCTGCCATAGGTTTATCACTCCATTTTCTACCAAGTTCTTAAAAGCCAGCACTATGGGAAGCAAGAAAACTTGCTGGCTGTCAATTGCTGCATCAGCCTACGGGATTCTCCAACATGCCACTGCATCACAGGGGTGGTGAAAATAAGGCCAATCTTCTGTGCCTTGAGGCAGCCAAAACTGTGTTAGCCTGTCTGACACCACTCATTACAAGTTAGCTGACTTAATTTTCCCCATCTTTCCTTTTTACTAAAGTTGTTCTGTGTTGAGTATACCCACTTACATATTTTGAAAAGTATCTCGAAAACTAGAGCAGGGAATTTTGCCACTGAAACAATTTACACAGACACACACACATACACACGCAGTCTTTTTCATACATACACAGAAAGAACAAGAAGAAAGAACAAAATTATAAAGCACTTGGGGTCCTCTTCCTGTAAAGGGGATATAAGTTGGAATAGTAATTAACTGTCCCACTCTGAAGCTGGGAAAGGTCATGAAAACTGTGATACAGGTATGTGGTTTGCATGCTTCATCATATGAAATGCCACATAGGTAATGACTATGGCCTAAGTATTTAGCTACTGTTAAAATGAGAGAAAAGATGACAGCAATGAGTTTTAAAATATCTAGATGCAGTTTTATTTTTAAATATACTCTGCCATGTTAAAAGAAGAAACTAGGTGTGCCTGCATGGCTCAGTTTGGTTAATAATCTGACTTCAGCTCAGGTCATGATTTCACAGATCTTGAGTTCGAGCCCCGCATCAAGTTCTGAGCTGACAGGGCAGAGCCTGCTTTGGATTCTCTGTCTCCCACTCTCTCTGCCCCTGCCCACCCCCACTCTCTCTCTCTCTCTCCCTCCCTCTCTCTCAAAAAATAAATAAACATTTAAAAAAAGAAGAAGAAGAAACTACATGGCCAGTTCACAGGTCATCTGACAAGAGACAGGTGAGGACTGTATGACGCTCAGTAATAAAGCCTGGTCAGATTAGGTAGAAGAGTGAAGGTCATTTGAAATAACAATGTTCTCTGAAATGTAGTACACTCCAACCGTACTGAACTTCTTTCACTTCCTTAAATGAACTTTCTCATCGCCACACTACCTCATATTTGTTTTTTCCAATCCAGAAAAGTAATTTTCTCCCTCTTCACTTAACTTCTACTAAACTTTCAGGTCTGTGTCACTCCCTCTAGGAATTTCAGAAGGATTCCAATTATTAGTTATTCCCTGAGTTATTAGTTTTATTAGTTTTTTATTTATTTTTTTAGTTATTGTCATTGTCTCTTATCAGAGCCCTTTCTATTTTTTTTAAATTTTTTCTTAACATTTATTTACTTTTGAGACAGAGAGAGATAGAGCATGAACAGGGGAGGGGCAGAGAGAGAGGGAGACACAGAATCTGAAACAGGCTCCAGGCTCTGAGCCGTCAGCACAGAGCCCGACGCGGGGCTCGAACTCACGGACCGCGAGATCATGACCTGAGCGGAAGTCAGCCGCTTAACCGACTGAGCCACCCAGGCGCCCCTCAGAGCCCTTCCTAAATATTATGGTTAGCGTGTAAATAAATGTTTGGGTAAGCTCAGTTCAGGGACTCTGTTTGATTCACTTTTGCATCCCCAGTGCCTACTGACAACTGACAGGGAGTGGTACACAATGGGCATTCAATAAATAATAAGTGCTCAGAAAAAAAAAAAACTGCGATAGATTTAGAGGTAGAATGAATTGAAAATCCAAATGTTAGGATTCATAGTTATTGTTGGTTTTTGTCTCAAGCTCAGGGTTATAGACTTTAACCTTATCTTCCTTCTTCGTTTTCAGTCTCTAGTGCCAAATTTCAGGTTTAAGTTGAAGAGTGAACACTTTGGTTAAATTCTCTGAAAGGGATAGAAATTACCCACCACTCTTGAAATGGTAAGGTGAGAAACATTAATCTGTGCATTAGATATAAAAACTCAATTAGTATGAAAAATAACAAAAGGAACCTACCTTCATTGTTGAAATGCATCTATAGAAAATCAGAATTGGGAAAGTAGGAGACTATTTCAGAAAACAAAGATCATCTCATTTTATGATTGTATTTTATTTTCATGAGTCTTTGAATCAATCATCTCATTTTAAACACTGATTGTATGCCTTTTACAAACACTACACTTTAAATATAAGGAAAAATATAAATTGCAAGTAAAAAAGATGCACACACTAATCAAAGAAACCAGAGGGTTCAAATTAATAAAAGACAAAGTAAAATTTAGAACAAGTTATTAGTAGAGATTAAAAAAGGACCTAATGATAAAGCATCAATTAGACAGAAATATATACATTCAGAAGTTATATGAACTAATAACATATCTTCATAATTCATAAAGCAAAAGTTTTAAAATGGAATATACTGTTGTATATGGAACATTGATAAAGAAATTCAGTAAGTTCACTGGATCTACAAAAATTGATTCCATTTTGATATAAATGCAACAACTACTTGGACGATACTCTTTACCCACAGGGGATACATTCCAAGCAACCCCACATCCCCATCCCACCCCCCACCTCCCACTCCAGCCATGGATGCCTGAAACCATGGATAGTACAAACTCTCTATATACTGTTTTTTTTTCTTAAACATATGTCTGTATGATAAAGTTTGTTTATAGATTAGATGCAGTAAGAGATTAACAATAACCGATAATAAAATGGAACAAAATAACAATAAACCGTAATAAAAGTTATGTGAATGTGCTCTCTCTCTCAAAATGTCTTGTATTGGACTCACCCTCCCATGATCTTGTGAGATGATAAAATGCCTACGTGATGAGATGAAGTGAGGTGAATGACACAGGCTTTGTGACACAGTGTTAGGCTATTACTGACCTTTTGACAATATATCCGGAGGATCATCTATTTCTGTATAAAAGCTGACCACAGGTCACTGAAACCGCAGGCAAGTGGGGATACTATAAAAGGTTTTTTACTGAAAAATACAATACACTCCAGAGAGACTTAAAGATAATCTAAATAACATTCATCTGGATTAGATTCATGGGTTATTAATGGGTTGGAAGACTCAACAATGTTATCATGCCATCCCTCCCTTCATTGGTCTATAGAATCATTACAGTGCCATTAAAAATTCCAGCAGTTTTGTGTGTGTGTGTGTGTGTGTGTGTGTGTGTGTGTGTGTATGTGTGTGTGTAAACTGACAAACTGATTGCAAAATTTATGCGGAAATGCAGAAGACTGATAATAGCCACGGCAATCTTCAAGAAGAAAAGTTGGAGGATTTACACTACCATACAGAAGACACATTTCAAAGCTACAGAAATTCAGATGGACATATAACTGGTATTATATAACAAAGACTAATAGACCAATAGAACAGAATAGAAATCAAGCCACACACATATGGCTGCTTGATTTACAGTAGAGGCACTGCTACCATTCAGTGAGGGGATGATGGTTATCAGGAGACTAGATAGTCTGTAGTATATTCAGATATGAAAATTGAAACGTGAAAGTGTGGAATTCTGCTGCTCACAACAACATGAATGAATCTCACAGATATAACGTTGAATGCAGGTATCTATATGAAGGTCAAAAACAGGCAAAACTTATCTGTGGTAATAGAAGTCAAACATTGGTTACCTTTGTGGGGTTTATTGACTGGAAAGGACATGAACAACTCTTCTGGGTTACCTCTAATGCTGTGTATTTTTATCTGGATGATGGTGGAATATATAGGTTATATATTCATGAGTGAATATATAGGTTAATATCCATCAAGCTGAACAGTTAAGATTTATGCACTTTATTTATGTCACCCCTCAATTGAAAAAAAAAAGACTCCAACAGGAAGAACAGCTTGCAAAGAAAACTAAGAAGGAACCTATTGCAAGAAAATAGGAAACAGAACCAGGGAAATCGGAAACAGAACCACAGAAAATTGAGAGGAGTTTTAGAAAAAGTATGACCAGTACGAGTGGGGGAGTACTGAAGAGTCCATTGAATTCAGAGCCAAAAGAGGCCCTCGATGGATTTTTTTTTTTCTTTTTGTGAAGTGAGAAAGCTGAGTCCAGTTTTTAATGATTCAGGTTGTGAATGGAGGAGAAGAAAGCACTAGAAAACAACTGTAATATGTTAATCACAGCTACCCAGGCAGGGAAAGAGAGAGAGGATGGTAGCTAGAGAAGGATGTAGAGTAAGAGAACAGTGCTTCATTTTAAGTAATAATAAGGCTGTGGATTATTCCTTAAAATCCATAAAAACTATGTTTAGTCCATATAAACCTAACCTAACTGGATCTCAAGTGTTGAATTCAGCAAAACAATTGCTCCTTTGTTTCTCTGATCAGAAGAGAAGGTGAGTACTTCCAACTGAGTTTGGAAAATTCATACTAAAATTTGAAATGACTCAACTCTTTCCTGATAATTAACCACTCATACAAGAGTTGGTTTAACTATACCTACCTAAGGGAAAGTATAGAATGCATTACCCTGGCGCAGCATACCAGAATGTAGCCTTCAATTCAATAATTCTTTTTTCTTCTCTCCACCAATTCATGTGAAGGGTTGAACTTACACAGACTGATAGTTGCTAAGTGGTAACTACATTTTTTTATTGTTCCATGAAAGTTCTGTACTGTTACACATGTTTTGGTATTTTTCCCCCCTCCAAGTACCTCTTACAGTGAAAAAAAAATGAGTTACTTTTATCATGTGTTATAGGAGTTTGTAGTTTATATGAGTTTCATGAAAAGTCCAGGAGTTGCCATAGAGCTTTACTTTATTAGCCAACAGAAGCAATACTCGTGCACAGAAATATATCTGCCTCCCTCCCAGAAAGGATTTATAAACAGTAAATGACTTACTATAATGTGCTGATAAGGATCTATAAATGACATTTTGGTTTCAATTACAGAAAATCTCTTCACACTTCAAAGGTCTTCTCTGGTACTCTAGCTTCTTTAAAACCTACAAAAATAAATAATCATTATTGTTAAGCTTCCTCTTGGATGCAATTCTAAGATTTATATGATGATGAATATGAACCTTAGGGAGTAAAAGTCCACCCAAGGGGACCAGATAGAGTTCCCATTTGTTTATACGACTGAGCATACACACACAACTTAGGGAAAGGATAAACATATTTTGATAGTACTGTTTAATTTCCATATTTATTTGTTCAAATGTATCCTGTCAGTAATTATTAGGAAAGTCCAGAATTTTTTTCTTCATTTGCCAAGTATTTTATGAGAAATTCATTGAACTTACGAAAAATTAAAATAATTTTTGTAGTGTTTATAACTAAAAAGCCACATCCCATTGTTTGTTTTCTCAATTGGGCCAGTGTTACACAAAATCATGCTAAAAAAGGAACATTTTTTACCTTAGCTATTTGTTAAGAGCTTTAGAAACATTCATGTTGGGGTGCCTGGGTGGCTCAGTTGGTTAAGCCTCCAAGTCTTGATTTCAGCTCATGTCACGATTTCCTGGTTTGTGAGTTCAAGTCCCACGTCAGGCTCTGTGCTGACAGTGCAGACCCTGCTTGGGATTCTATCTCCCTCTCTTTCTGCCCCTCCCTCATGCACATGTGCATTCTCTCTCTCTCTCAAAAATAAACATTAAAAAATTATAAATATATGTTTATAAATATATATTAAATATATATGTTATTAATATATATTATATATGTATATGTATATATTAATGTATAATATGTAACATATGTTATTCATATATAATGTTAATATATATTTATACATATATAACATATATATTAAATATATAACATATATATATTTCACCTTGAATTTCAACTTCAGTGCTGACATTTTTTAAAAAATTATTCATTCTAAAATACCAGTTTAATTTGGAAGCAGTTGAATAAAAAATATTTCAGTGAAAAAATGCTTTCGTTACTTTGCTTTCTCCTACAATTACTCCATATTATTTAAAATCAAATAAACTATTCAATGAACATCTGTTCTTCCATCATAGATTTTTTTCCCTTGAGACTATAAAACAATATATATTTATATCTTAGCATTCTATATGTCATACCTAATTTGGAACAGCTTTTCAAATACCTTTGTTATTTATGATTAATATGTACATTCTAAAATGTTTTAATTTCAGAATAACATTTAAAAATTTTAAAGTGTTTCTTTTCTTTTTAAACATCACATTTTAAAAATTATAAAAAATAGCTCATGCTCAATTTTATGAACATGAACTATGGAAGCAAATAAAGAATAAAGTGTAATCACGATTTTATTTTGATGTGCATCCTTCCAGACTATCTGATGCATAATCATATATTTAGAGTACAAAGGAAAAGAAAGGATTTTAATTTTTTATACAGATGGGATCTCATCAAGTGCCCTTGAGTTCTTAAACTCACTTCCTTCATCATTTCTTAAGCAAAAAGAATAGCACTTATTTATTCATTCATTTATTTATTTTTAAAGGCTTTATTTTTTCAGGGTAGTTTTAAATTTATAACATAATTGAAATGAAGGTACAGAAATTTCCCCATAAACTACCTGTCCCCACACATACACAGTCTCTCCCAATACCAATATCTCCTACCACAGTGGGACGATGGTTACAACTGATAATCCTACACTGGCACATCATCATCACCCAGAGACCACATCATGACCTGAGCCAAAGTTGGAAGCTTAACCGATTGAGCCACCCAAGTGTCCCTGATCTTATAATACATTTTCCTGATAAAAATGTAGCCAGCATTTTAAACCAAGATGAAGGCAAACCATCATTCTGATTTTATAAACTACTATAAACTTAATCTTGTATTAGCTTATTTTAAACCAAATACAATTTTTTATAATATTACCCAATCACTAATTGCCTTAGCTGTCTGTTATTTTGGTTGGATCTACTTGCCTTGTCAGTAACTTTCAGATCTTTACTACAGTATCATCTTCCCTGTAAAGCTTTCCTTGACTATATTATTTATTTATTTTTGAGACAGAGAGGGTGCGAGCGAGGGGCAGAGAGAGACAGAGAAAGACAGAGAGACAGAGAGACAGAGAGAGAAGCAGGGCTCACCCAAAGCAGGGCTCATGAACTGTGAGATCATGACCTGAGCCTGAGTCAGATACTTAACTGACTGAGCCACCCAGGCACCCCCTGACCGTATTATTTTAAATGGTGGAAACCTTTCTTTTTTTGCCATCTAACATGGATTATCTAGTTTTTTGTCTATTTCCCCTCTCACTTAATTAGGATACAAACTCCATGGAGGCAGATCTTTTATGTATTTTATTTTGTAATACTCCCAGCCCCTACGTAGGTACATATGGCCAATTAATATATATTTGTTGAATGAACAAATGGATGGATATATTTTTAGAAGAGAAACAACTTTCAAGACCAGTTATACAAAAACACTGTAGCCAAGTAAAAGTTCATTTTTTTTAATCCACAAATTGCATATTCCTCATCTCTATCTATATCTTCTGCATCATTTCATTCTCTTAATCCATACTAGGATAAGTTTCTCTTTTCCTGCTTATTATTTCCCCTAATTATCCTCACATTACAAACATCATACAAACATAATTATTTATTTACCACCATACTGTACTGTGCCTCTGATTAGGCTCTAAGTATTCTTACAACTACATTTCATGTTAAAGGAACAACAGCATAAGAAGATACAGGCAACACTCTACTAGGATGACCTGGTATTTATATTTGAATTTGTTATATAGGAAATATGTATATATGTATCAGATGGTACGATCCTAACTAGCCCTTCCCACTGTCAGGATTTTCTGAGCTATTTCTAGGACACGTTATTTTTTTTTTTTTTTTATTTATTAAAAAAATTTTTTTTTTCAACGTTTTAATTTTATTTTTGGGACAGAGAGAGACAGAGCATGAACGGGGGAGGGGCAGAGAGAGAGGGAGACACAGAATCGGAAACAGGCTCCAGGCTCTGAGCCATCAGCCCAGAGCCTGACGCGGGGCTCGAACTCACGGACCGCGAGATCGTAGGACACGTTATTTAAAATGATCATCAATGACTTAATGGCTACTGCTTTCACGCCAATCAAATTCAAGATAGCCTACATTAGGTCCCCAGTCAGAATACAGCTCATACTCTAGAGCTGCTGGTGGAACATATTCTTATGGATGATAGAGCATGGAAATTGCCTGCACTTTTCTTAGTCTAACAATCTATGTTTCCCTTATATCATTACCCCTTAGAAGTGAAGCAATTTCTTAATGGCAATTCTTTTTTCAAGCACATTGATCAGCCACCTGAAGCTCCAAGAGCATGAAGTTTTTATGCTGCTGCAGTAGTCATAATCCCTGAGAGATACACCTTCCCCCTCCAGAAGCTGCAAAGTCCATGCAGTTGTACGGTAATGCCAGGGGACTACTATCAGGGATTCAATGCCCAAGGGAAAATCCTATTATTCTCTTCATTGAAGCAGCATAATTTGGTAAAAACACCACTGGATGTGGGATTAGAAAGACCCTGATTCAAACTCCAGTTTCACATTTTAAGGCCTGGTGTATTCTGCCACAAATGGGAATAGTACTACCTTCAATGGCGTAGTGAGGATGAATTAAGTATAGTGAAAGGTGCCTGTCCCATAGTAAATAAATTCTCAATGCATGCAAACTTTCTTTTTTTAAATTTAAGTTTTTATTTTAATTCCAGTGACTTAACATACAATGTTATGTTAGTTTCAGGTGTATTATATAGTGACTCAACAATTCCATACATTACCCAAGGCTCACCACGACATGTGCACTCCTTAATCCCCATAACCTATTTAACTTAACCCTCTGCCTCCTTCCCTTCTTGTAACCATCAACTTGTTCTCTATAATTAGGATTCTGTTTCTTGGATTGTCTCTCTTTTTTTTTCCCTTTGCTCATCTGTTGTGTTTCTTAAATTCCACATATGAGTGAAATCATATGGTATTTGTCTTTTCTCTGACTTATTTCACTTAGTATTATACTCTCTAGTTCCATCCATTTCATTGTAAATGACAAGATTTCATAGTTTTTATGGCTGAATAATATTCCATTGTGTAAATGGACACTTGGGCTGTTTCCATATCTTGGCTATTATAAATAATGCTGCAATCCAACGTGGATGGAACTGGAGAGTGTGATGCTAAGTGAAATAAGCCATACAGAGAAAGACAGATACCATATGGTTTCACTCTTATGTGGATCCTGAGAAACTTAACAGGAACCCATGAGGGAGGGGAAGGAAAAAAAAAAAAAAAGAGGTTAGAGTGGGAGAGAGCCAAAGCATAAGAGACTGTTGAGAACTGAGAGCAAACTGAGGGTTGATGGGGGGTGGGAGGGAGGAGAGGGTGGGTGATGGGTATTGAGGAGGGCACCTTTTGGGATGAGCACTGGGTGTTGTATGGAAACCAATTTGACAATAAATTTCATATATTAAAAATAAATAAATAAATAAATAAATAAATAAATAAATAAATAAATGAATGAATGAATAAATAAATAATGCTGCAATAAACACAGGGCTCCATGCCTCCCTCTAGTGTTTCTATATTCCTTGGGTAAATATCTAGTAGTGCCATTGCTGTATCCTAAAGTAGTTCTATTTTTAACTTTTTGACGAACTTCCGTACTGTTTTCCACAGTGGCTGCACCAGTCTGCATTCCCACCAACAGTGCAAGAGGGTTGCTTTTTCTCCACATTTTCACCAACAGCTATTGTTTCTTGTGTTGTTGATTTAAGCCATTCTGACTGGTGTGAGGTGATAATCTCATTGTAGTTTTGATTTACATTTCCCTGATAGTAAGTGATGATGAACATCTTTTCATGTGTCCGTTGGCTATCTGTAGGTCTTCTTTGGGGAAGTATCTGTTCATGTCTTCTGTCCATTTTGTAACTGCATTATTTGTCTTTTGGGTGTTGAGTTTTCTAAGTTCTTTATTTATTTTGGATACTAATC